CTCAGAATTTCTTAAATTCTACTTTAAGAAACGTGATGGATATGCAGGAAACAACTTCCTCCAGCTCTTTTACAGAATTGCTTGATTTTTACCCATGAAATTACTTTCTCATTAAGACAACTTCTGTGTATTTAAAAATAGGAGACTGGAGAAATGTAGAAATGCTCTAAAGGAGGTACATGGATTGGGATTAGGAAGAACAGAAGTCCTGCAGAGCTTCACCACAGAGGAGGAAACTGAAACCCTGGAACCCTCAGCCTGTATTGCCCATCCCTGTTTTACAGACATCTGTAATTTCCCCCCACAATTCCCCTTTTTATTGTTGTTGTTATTGCAGAATAGTTTGGGCTGGAAGGGACCTTAAATCCCACCCAGTGCCACCCCTGCCATGGCAGGGACACTTCCACTGTCCCAGTTTGCTCCAAACCTCATCCAACCTGGCCTTGGGCACTACCAGGGATGGGCCACACCCAAAACACCAAATCCAGATTTCAGCATCAATAAAACACACACATCTTTAATTTCCAGTACTTTCCACAGGTAGGTGTTTGAGGCCACTGGAGGTTTTCTGACTCCATATCAATGCTCCCAGGGAGGCAGTTACACCACTGACATGTCATTTCTAACAAGTTTAGATTGGATGGGAAATCCTAAACGACCTTGCTCGGGCGCCTGCCTGATCCCAACCTGCTGAAAAGCTCTCCTGGCACGAGCTGCAGGTTATTCATCTTTTATCCAGGTGCATGCACACAGCCCTGACTCATGCACCACCAACAGATGGGAGGAATCTTATATTTATGAGCTGCCACCTTTTTTTTTTTTCTTTTCCCTAGAAATTAATTTTTCATTAAATCTCTTTGAAAAACCTTTGAATTAACAGAGTAACTCCATTCAAGGAGAAAACCTAGAAAGGGTAGTTTTTAAGCAAATTGACCCTCTGGATTTTGGACAAAACACTCAGGGCAGGTGTGGCATTATCCCTTCTGGTTAAAGCCAGTTTTCCATGTCTCTGGAAATTCCTGTGGATATAATCACCATGAGTGTTAATTAAAAACAGGCAGAGGTGTCACAGGGAAGGTGTGACAGCAAAAAGGGGACAAGCCCAGGAGCAGCACCTGTGCCCCTGCACCCTGAGAGATTTGCAGATTATAGATGATACACAAAGAACAACTTCGTGGTGGGTGTTTTGTCAAAAGATTTACAGGTTTGGAGTGGCTCAGGTGTTTAATTGTTCACTTGATGGGAGCTTCAGTTGCCTGAGAAGAGCTGGGAGCACAGCAGGAGCCCCAGAGGTTCAGGGGGAAACCTCTTGTGTTATATTATCATGTGTATAATAATTAATATAGAAAAAATATATAAATAAGTGCCACTTGATGGGAACTTCAACTGCCTGGGAATATCTGGGAGCAGAGTCCCCAGCTGGTCACAACAGACTGCTGGGAGAACTCCTCCTGCATTATTTTATCATACACATTCTATTTACTAATTTATGTAGTCCCATATAACTAATCTAGAACAATAGAGATAATATTTCTGTTTGGCTTATTGTTTCCTCTAGCATATAAATAAAACAACTCTTGAAAGAACCAACTGAAAGATGCATTAATGAAATTCCTTCAAAAGAGATGAGTTTGGCCCAGTCCCAGCCTGGCACTTGTGGGAACAGAGAGGGGTTGGTGCCACCATCAGGGTGGTGACACCATCAGGGTGGTGACAATGCCAGGGTTGGTGCCACCATCAAGGTGGTGACAATGCCAGGGTTGGTGCCACCATCAAGGTGGTGACACCTCCAGGGTTGGTGCACCATTAGGGTGTTGACACTGCCAGGGTTGGTGCCACCATCAGGGTGGTGACACTGCCAGGGCTGGTGGCACCCAGGGCTGGCCTGGATGTACCCCCAGCCCCCAGGGGATGAGCCAAGCCCTCTCCTGTTGTTCCAAACACTAAGCTGAGCTTTTCCAAGGCATGTACAAATTACCACCCACAGCAAAGGTGCTGCTGGAGCCCATGATTTACACAGCAAAGGCAGAAAATGAAGAAATGCCCAAGCTGAAATAGCTGCCCCCACTGGGGCTCGGCACAGACATCTGAATTTCAGGGCAGCTCCTGCCCTTGGTCAGCTCTGGTTCACTGAGGGACATGGAAAGGGGAACTGGGGATGTGCAGGCACCCCAAACCCTGACATTTCCACAGGCACTGCTCAGGTCAGAACACACTCCCACACGAGTGGGGTGGATAAACCAGGCACAAGTGACACGTGAGGACAGGCCTGGGGACAGCTGGCAGCACATCTGGATGTCCTGGGGACAGACAAACCCCACAGTGGGCCTGTGACAAACCATCTCAGCTGTTTAACTCCACACATGCAAGCAGAAGGGGGCCAGAGAAAACAATTTAGCCCTAAATATTTCCCCTGTTGCCTTCCCACCCTTGTGGGAGCCCTGTTATTTATATGCACGAATGATTTATTCCTCTATTACCAGTTACCTCCTTTGATTAAATATATCAGGGCCTTTTACGTTATTTCAAGGCTAGAATCATTTTAAAATTAAATGATCCTTTGAGTACCCTTTGGGAGCTGAATGCTAAACTGACAGTTCCATAATGCAAAAAAATGGTAGTTGTGCTCATTTTATTTAATTAAACTGTACCCTTGATCAAGCAAACCAAATGGGAGAATATTAACCTTATTTTTTACTTCTAGAAAAGAAGTAAAATAAAAAGTGGACATTCTGTTGTCATGGTCACATGTTGTCTTTGTTCAGCTGACACCTAAACTGTTGTGTCACGCAGCTGTAATTTCATTCATCAAAGGTCCCCAAAAGAAGATTTCTGGGTTTTACCCTGCTACTGATCGATTATGTCCAAGTAGGAAACACTTCAAAAACTTTTCTCCCTTCAAGCTTTGCAAAAGATCTGAATTTAAATGGCACTTTTAAGGCTCTTTGGAGCCCAAGTACAACAGCAGCCCGGCTTTTGAAGAGCACACAAAAATACTTCTGGCCAGAAAGAAAGGAACCAAGTGACAAAAAGAGGAAGATAAAAGCAATTCCAAGTCCCAAACCTACAGAATCCCCTCAGTCTTGGCCTATTCTTTAGAACTAAACCTCATTTTGCAAATCAAAGGACCAGCTGCTAAACTTGCCTTAAAAAAAAAGCGAGGTAAGTCCTGAATGCAGGGCTGAGAGAGTCCTGGCCTGCCATCAATCAGTCCCTGAGGTCCCCCTGCTCCCACCAGGGGTGTCCCCATCCCTGGACCCCAAATCCTGGGGTTCCAATGCCCAGGGATGCTCTCCCATCACTGAATCAGTGCCTGGAAAAGAAACTTGCTGCGAGGCACCTCGTGGGCTTCACCTTCAGGAGGTGGCTCAGCTCCATCAGGGCTGCACGAATGTTGTACCAAAAAAATCCAAATGTCACTTTTCAGAGACAGCAGTGTGGATCCTCACATATGGAATATGGTGGTACTGAGAGAGGGACAAAAGAAAGGGAAAAAAAATCTTTCTTTGGACAACGCTTAAAAATCCCTAATTTCACATAGAAGCCTTCAAAGTCGATTAAAAACAATTCTTAAAACAATTCCCAGCTTTCACTAGTGCTTAACAACGTGTTTCCCTCTGTGAAGAGGCACTTCAAATTGGATTTGCAGTTCTGTCTGGATGTTTTATTTCCCTTTGTGGTCTAAGAGATCGCTGCTTTGTAAGATTCATCCTGGGCAATTAATATATCAAGCAGAGAATCACACCAGGGATTTCCCCAAAGAGATTTTGGGAGCTCCTGCCCGTAGGTCCCAACCCTCTGGAAGTTATTAAGCAGCACAAGGATGTCACAAAATTAAAGTCACTCAGTTAGAATGAACATGGCATTCCACCTGATAAAAATCTCAGCTCTGCAGCCCCAAACAACAGGTGCTGGGTGATAAAAGTCAGGACAAAAGTGCCAAAGCCTCTCACATACTTTCCCCAATTTCTACAGCAACAGAGCTGTGACAGAGGGCTCCTGACTGCTCAATTTGATGGCCAGGCAGACTTATAAAAGCTGAGTTTCCTAGGGGAAGGCATAATGAAATCAACGCACTCATGAATATGGATGGCGGGCCGGGGCCATCTGTTCGCCACCAACATCTTTTCTTAAAACAAGTTTCAAATATTTCGCCAGAGACGTCTGGTATCTTTATTTCCACGGATAAAATTAGACCTTGGATTTTCACCATCTCCGGTCATTAAGTGCTATTGTTATGGAAATGTGGGTTTGTTGTTTTTTGGGTTTTTTTTCTCCACTGATAATCAAAAGATGGAGTGATAAAACAGTTTGACAAAGTTCAGGTGGAGATTTCATCGGTCTGCAGAGGAGCTTCACAATATTGACAGTCAGGGCATGCCGTGTGTAATGTAAATATAACTCCTCTATCCTCCCCCAGGGAACAGGAGCCTGGGATGTCCTGCCCTCATTTGTACCCTACATCCACCTGATTCCCTTTGGTTCCAGAGAAAACATCATAAAGCATTTTTATCCCACGTTCATGAGGTTGGTGCTGGTTTACATGCGGGGAGAGGGGCACGGGTGGAGGAGCTGCTGCTGGGTGGGGATGGGAGAGAGCCAGGAGAGAGGCAGGATTGTCAGAACCAAAATGTCCCTCAGACAGATGCCCAGATTGTGGAGTGCCTTTCCTTGAGATACTCAAACCCACCTGGACTTCTCTGGGTGAACCCACTGAGCAGGGGTTGGACTTGGTTCTCTCCAGAGACCCCTTCCAACCCATCCCCAATCCCAACCCCAACCAGCCTCGGGTTCTGGGGGTCCCCAGCTCTGGGGCAGCAGGAGCAGAGCAGAAATCTCTCACAATAACAATCTGTCTAAAGCAGGTTGCTCTCAATTACTGTGTTCAGTGTTAATTAATAATCAGCTCCTGGTTACTCAGAGCAACCAGGAAGCTGAGACAGCCCAGACGAACAGAATTCCAATGGCTCCTGAAGAAATGAGTCTAAGGACACACTCACAGCAAGGGAATTGGCTCAGGGTTCTCCTCCTGGGGTCCCACCAGCCTGGCCAACATCAGCACCTGCTCCAGCCCCACTGGCTCCAGCAATCCTACATTTCATGGCACACTCAGTTCCAAACCAGAGCAGATACATGAGGAGCCCTGTGGTGAACTCTGAAAAAAAAAAAAAAAATCCAAAAACCCAAAAAAGAAATTAATTTAGGTTTTGAACATTCCAGTCTTACAATATTCCTCTCCATTTCAGCCTATTGATAGTATTTATGTGGCTGTTAAAAATAAAATTCAAAATAAACCTAAGTGAAAAAGATATGGGAGTAAAAACATTAAAATTGAATATGATCAAAATAGTCAGAATTGTATAAATAAACCTCAAAATCTCAATACTTGCCCACACCTTTTGGTTTCATTGAAGTGAGGTTTTGGTCAAAAAAGTGCCCCCAGTGGGATCACCCAGGGATGCTCAGCCCAGCCATGCTCCCCCGGGGATGGAGAATAGCCTGGGCTCATTTCCCAGAGGAATTTCTGCAGCTGATCCTAAGCACGGACAACCTGGGCAGGTTATGCCATAACAGCTTTTCCATTTGCATCCAAATTTGGGGCATTATGCTCAACCTGCTCATCCACTTCCACTCAAAGGTGCAGCTTGTTCAATTTGCATAATAACCATCTCCAGCTAATTATCCCCATTCGTTCATGGAAGCAGCCACTTTCTGTAGGGCTTAAAATTACCATAAACTGTGCATAAGATCAAGACAACACCGATTTATCTTATTAACAGCGAGGAGTTTGTGTGTTAATTAGCAGGGAATTACTTCGGAAATACATTCAGATGTTCTCAGGACCGGTTCACCCAACAAGCCCCGAGCACCTCTCAGGATCTGCAGCTCAGGGCTGATGCAGAGGAGAACCAGAAGCTCCAAGAGCAATGGGTGAGGCCAGGGAAGCACCCAGGGAGTCACCAAAGTGGGAATTCCTGTTTGGAAAACATCCACATGCTGTGTGGGCACTGCAAAGGTGTAGAAACCTCTGGGAAGGTATTTAAGTGGGAGAGTTGGAGAAAAGTGAGTTAAAAGTGTTTCCAGCAGTGTGTAGGTAAGCTCAGCAAGCTCCTGCACACGGTAAAATTTGTTTTCTGCATTTTTTTGGATGGCATTTTGGACAAATTGTTAATAAAGGTGCAAAACTCAGTGCCTCGCTGATATTCTCCTTCTCTGCTTAGTGAGCAGCTGCTCCAGCCTCCCCCTTGCAGCAGCTGTCAGAGCACTTCCCATAATATTCATGGGTGCTCCATGTTTTCCAGCAGCAGGTGGTACAATTTCTGTATCTGCAAACGATCAGCATTCAAATCCAGATTTTTCTCCCTAATAGCTACTACACAGCTACAAAGTGTTATCTTTCCTACACATATTTTTAATACCCCCAGTAAAAGCTGAAGTGAGGACTTGTATTTAAGGGAAAGATGTTCCCATGAAATTTTAAGTGAGAATTTCACACTGGGAAAAGATTAGAATAATACAGCCTCTCAAGTACAGAGCCATTTACTCTCCATTTTTCCTGTGCCCCAGAAATAACCTCCTTAATTTTCACCCTGGGGTTCCCACAGGCACCCATGTGGATACTGGGAATTGGACAAACTCCTTACACAACCAAAGGAACTGACAGGTTACAAAGAACAAAAGAAAAGCAGCTTGCACTAAACAGTTTTCATTTTAAAGACCCCAAACCCTTTAAAAAGAACTGCAATGTGAAACTCTAGCTAAAATAATTATTTGCTGCTTTTCCATCAAAGCCAACGTTGACATTTAATGGGAATGGGCAGTTTTCAAGCCCATACTCATGTGCTGCACTAAATTTGCACAGAAAACAGGTCCTCTGTCTGTCTTCTCAAAAATCCATGGAATTTGAGCACAATCCCTTCCCTGGTAAAGCCATGAGACACAGAATGTGGTTCCCATAAACGGCATGGCCATAAATCTTTATTTCCTGGCGGCATGATGGATTTCATAAGACAATGGATTTAACAATCCCTTTTTGCCAAGCAGTTCCCTAATTGCTTAGGAAACCCTTTCTGGGTTTAAGGAACTAATTTTCCACCGTGATCCTGAAAAGAGCTGGAGTGTAATTGCCAGGGAGTTAATGGAGTCATTGTGCATATTTTTGTTCTTCATTTTCCTAAGAACAATCTGAACCTTCCAGAGAGATAACAGAGAATATCAAAGGCATCTTTTACATCAGGTGAGGCTCTCATCACACACCAACCCCATGCAGCTGTATCAGCTGCTCTCCAAAATTGTTTTCCATGTCAATAAAGGAGCAAAGCAGAAATAAATAATAACACAATGGCCAGAGGTGCTCCTGCTTTTCAGCAACCTGCTGGAATTACTGGCCTGGCTGTATGTGAGGGCACAAAACTGAGAATTATTTCTTCCATAGCCACAGCACGGGGCTGGAACTAGAATCATTTATGTTGGAAAACATCTCCAGGGTCATCGAGTCCCAGCTGTGCCTGATCCCCACCTTGTCCCCAGCTCAGGGCACTGAATGCCACCTCCAGGAATTCCTTGGACACCTGCAGGGATGGGCACTCCAAACCTCCCTGGGCAGCTCTTTCCATGGAGAAATTCCTCCTGCTGCCCAAGCCAGCCCTCCCCAGCACAGCCTGAGGCCGTTCCCTCTTCTCCTGAGGGATCTGATGATTTTTGAGGTCCCTCCAACAAGAATCATTATGTTTCTGAACACATCCCTCCCTTTCATCCCCAGCTTCCTGGAAATGGTGTCCACTCATCTCACCCCTGCAGCACGTCCTGCCCAGGCACAGACACTGCCACCACCATCACCACCATCATCATCATCAGGCATCATTTTGTGATGGGAGCTCCCAAAAACACCCCCTGACAGCAACACAGCCCTGCACAGCCTCTGTTATCATCATACACACCAGCCCGAACAGCAGTGAGCCAAGTGCAGTGCCAGCTCTTTAATTTTCATGCAAAAAAAAGTTTTTTTCTAAAATTCCAACCAGGCACTCATGCCATCTTCCTTGGGCAGAGCATTCCACAGGGAGAGGGGAGCTCACCCAGCCCGCTCTGGAGGTGGCAGACCAGCTGATACAGATGAGAAAACCCAACTGTTTTCCACAAATTGCCCAGCACTTCCTGCAAAGAATGTTTTAGGCACAAAGCTGATTTTGATGTTAAAGACTAAAGAAACATCAAAGGGAAATACCTGTGGGTATGCAGCAGCGCTCCCAGAACAAGCAGGGGCTCATGAATACCAATTGATAAATATTCTGTATAAATATCGAACCCCTGGGTGCAGGTTCCACCGAGAGCCCACCTGAGCCCTGCAGCCCCAGGGACGCCTGTGACCACCCAGCTTTGGCTTTCAGCAGAGCCCAGGCTGCTCCTGAGCTCCAGATCCAGCTCCTGGCCCATCCCAGGCTTCTCCCTGTGCCCACCTGGGATTTTGCTCCTGGATTCAGGCTGGGCTGGGCTGCAGGTGGGATTTTGGGCGGTGATGGTTTGTAAAGGCAACACTGGGCGTGTGGGGCTGGGAGCAAAAGCAAGATCCAGCAAAAATGAGCATGGAACCAACAGGACAGGCATCAAAAATGGCCAAATTTCACCTGATTTCTCAGCCAAACGTGCAGCAAAATGCACAAGGCTTTGCACAGCTTCCCAGCAAGGACTTCCCACAGCCCACAAAATTCATTTTGATTTATCCTCTGCACTGCTGTTTTCAGATGCAGCCAAGGAGCAGAGGGGGGTGCATGATTTCATTTAGAGCTCTGCTGTTTCAGCCTGGCACTCCCCAGCTCTTTTCAGCTGCCTTCACAGACCAGCATCATTTCTAATCTCACCCTGAGCAAACACTTGTAAATCTGCTAAATGACTCAAATTTTCAGATTTCTCCCTCTCAGTTTGCTGGATCACTGTCTCAAACAGTTTCTCTGCCCAGTCAGATTTTCAAAGCAAGTTTATAAAACCAGCATCTGTTGATAATCTAATACTCTGGAAAGAAAATATTTCTCTTTTCCACACAATGCTGGGAAAACCTTGAAACTTGTAAACAAGCAGGGGATGTGACAGCAGCAATTGGTTTCTGTTAACAGCAAAATAGAAAGGAAGGAAAATATGAGTAGAAAAAGAATTTCTGTGCATATTTAATATCGTTTTTGTAGCAAGGCACTTTCATGAAGTTTGACTCAGTGTTGTAATTAAAATGTTCTGTAACGGTGGTAATTACCCCATCAGGTAAGGCACAATGGATGGCAGAGCAAACCTACAATATAATGATTATTTCCAAGTTGCATCTCAATTTTTGTGCATTTTAAACACCTTCCCTGTGCCTGGGAAAGGGATTTTTAACAGGGTCCTACATGTGACAGTGCAGCCCCAGCCTGGCACAGTGGGATTTTTTGTTATCTTTGTTTTTTCCTTCTTAATAAACTAAATCTCTTTGAAGGGAACTAATTCTAATAGATCCAGTGATGAAATTTAATCCAATTCAACCCCACCTGAGCACACCTTGATGCTGCAGAGCGAGGTGAGAGCAGAGGCTTCTCCCACTTCTCCCCACCACAGAGCATCTCTGCCTCCAGGAGCAGAAAAACTCTGGAAATTCTGGAAACCCACCCAGAACGTCCCAAATGTCACAGAAATGACAAAGCCCTTTCACTTTGCAAACGGTTTTGAGGCACATTGACTTTGAGGTGCTAAAATTCCCTTTTTTAGGGGAGGAGTGGCGTGTTCAGTCCCATATTAAACCAAGGTAACATAAAGCAGCAGAGTATTCTTGCAATTCAGGGGTTTGGAGCCTTCCCAAAGCATTTTGAGTGCTGCAGGAAGATGAATTATCTCCCATTTCTTCTATCAAACCCTGATGTCATGTCTGGAAAAACACTAAACCCTGTCAATTATTTCTGTCTTCCCAGGTTCCATCCGTCCTTTGCAGGCTCGTCCAGCAAGAAAATAACCCCTTTCACTTTGGAAAGGGGCAATAAAGATGATGGATGCTTTTTGGAGTTTATTTTTGCTGTGTCCATAAACATTCCCCTAATAGCTCATCACAGCTGACGAGGAGCTTGGCGGAGCCAACTGCTGTTGACTGAAAATATCTGACAATTTTTTTTCTCCCAAGCCTGCTGTACAGAA